CCCAAAGAATGAAATATCAAGGAATAAACGTAAACAAAGAAACAAAGGACTTATACAAAGAAAACTACAAAAGACTACTACAAGAAACCAAAAGAGACCTACAAAAATGGAAGAATGTACCATGCTCCTGGATAGGAAGACAACATTGGGAAAATGTCAATAATGCCCAAAGCAATTGACACATATAACTGCAATCCCAATCCAGATTCCAACAACATTTTTCAAAGAGATGGAAAAACCAATTACAAACTTTATATGGAAAGGAAAGAGACCCAGGATAAGCAAATCACTGCTTAGGAAGAAGAATAAGGTTGGAAACCTTTTACTCTCCGACTTCAAATTTTATTACACGGCTATCGTAGTCAAAACAGCTTGGTACTGGTACAATGAAAGATACACTGATCATTGAAACAGAATCGAGAATCCAGAAATTAACCCATCCACATACAGCCAACTGATTTTTGTCAAAGTACCTAAATATATCACATGGGGAGGTGATAGTGTCTTTAACAGATGGTGCTGGCAGAACTGGAAAGCGATATGCAAAAGACTGAAACAAGACCTACACCTAACGCTTTATACAAAAACCAGCCTAACATGGATTAAAGACCTAAAGGTGAATCCCAGAATTATGAGGGCCATCAATGAAAAAATAGGGAGAAATGTGAGGGCACTAATTCAGGGAATACACAGACTACCAAACATTTCGAAACTACATTAACAAAAGTAGACAAAATAGATTATTGGAACATACTAAAAATCAAAAACTTATGTGAATCAAAAGACTTGACCAGAAGACTAAAAAGGTAATCTACAGAATGGGAAAACATCTTTTGCAATGACATATCAGACAAACGACTCATTTCTAAAATATACAGGAAACTACAACACCTCTACAAGACAAAGATAAATAAACCAATTAAAAAATGGGCACAGGACATGAACAGACACTTCACCAGGCAGCCAACAAACATAACATGGGTGAACCTTGAGGACATTATGTTGAGTGAAATTAGTCAGTCACAAAAGGAGAAATACTGCATAGGATCACTACTGTAAAAGCCTAAAAAAAAGAACCCATACTAAGGGATGGGTATATTCTTTGCTGGTAACTGGGATGTGAGGGGTGGGGTGAGAGGGGGGAGGGGAAGGTGGAGCACAGGGTAGGGAATAGACACAGGATAATTTGGGTGCTAGGGAAGGGGAGGGGAATGGAAGAACAAGAATGGGGAGGGGAATTGAAGAACAAAGTGGACGGGAAAACAATTAGGCAGGTTTGCATGGGCTAAGTGGGACAGAGGTAAATAATGATGCATGCACAACCTTGGAACAACAGGGTTCTGAGATACAGGGGCTGAGACATGGTTGGAATGGGGAAAAGCGGGGAAATAATGTTAAGATATTTGGCTGTCTTTTGAATCCTGGTTTCTCTTGCATACCATTATAAAATAGAGACTTGAGGTGTAGAGAAAGGAATAGTCAGAAATACCACCATAGAAAGTTTATAAGTCCATCTTCTGCCTATAACTGATTGGAATACCTAAAATGGGCCTACAACATGCCCAGTGAAGGAGGCTTTCTGCTGAACCGCATGCAGAATCTTCAGAGATGGGAAATTTGCACTTGAAAAGACAAGCAGACTAGCCTGGAGCAGCTAGAAGGAAAGAAGATACTTCTTAAAAGAAAGACTGACAGGAAAAATACAAAACAATATAGGCAGTAGTCAGACTGATTACTAAAAGAACAAGCAAGTTGCTTGCCCAGGAGACATCGAGGCAAGTGGTCAAGTCCCCTCAGGTCAAACCCCCTTCCAAGACTAAGACTCAACGGGAAAACATACTCTGATTGGTGACCACATTTGTCACCAATAAGGGGAAGTGATGTAAAAACAGCAATGAAGCTGCGAGCTAAGTCCTACAACATTCAACAGACTCCTGTGAACCCAGGTGGAAACCTAATTGGCCAGCAGTGTGGCAAGACTTGGGGACTCTTGGGCCCAGAGTCAGTGACATAGCCAC